TACTTACGCCTGCGACGTAGTAGGTCTGTTCCGTGGTACATCAGTGCATCATTCGTCTGGAGTGCTCTTACACTTAGTCCTTTTTCTTAGTCGAGATGAATAAGCACTGGTCGAATATAGATTGTATTATGGAAAAGGCCTTGATGAAGAACTTCGAATATCGGCTATGCCATTTAGTCTCGGACTTTGGTACTCCGTATAAGGGTCCCGTGACGAGAAATATATTCCTTGGCGGGAATAGGTGGGTGATCTCTTTCGGTGGTTTTACGGCGATGATTCGTACTAGCCTTGATCTCGATTGAGTGTAGGAAATTGATGTGCTTTGTTCCTTCGTCCAGGTCCTCTCTTTCTTGTCGGTTGAAGTCGTAAATATCGACTTGAAAATGCTGTCAATTTTGTATATGTTGTCGGGTAGTAGTTTGGCTGTCGTCCCTGGGGATTTTGAACAGACTGAATGAGGTCACTCGCCTTGCTATTACCATAAGCATGCCCTTCGGTTCGACGGAATCGGTGCTTAAGGATCGTAGCATTTAGATCAGACCTTGATGTATCCTGCTGGGCGACCTCCGCTGGTAGTTTTCTTACGCTCTCCGATTTCCTGGCTCCTCAAAAGTAAGGTGTTGCTGGTCTTTGTATACCAATTCTCCTTTTTGGTTGTCGCCTTCACTTGAATTGATTGAGGAAGGTTCTTCCTTAGCGAGGTGCTCGCTAGGCTGCTCTTGTTATGAATTGGCCACGGATTGCTTTTTCAAATACACGCCTCCAGCACCTTGATTACCTTCTGACTGAATTGAGTGGAAGGTATTGTTGATAGGCATTATCTGAGAGAATTGAATTTCGCTAGTGCGATTGAAGTTATCAATCATATTATTTCCCTTAGAAACAGCAATGTCCTTAATGCGTCGATTCGCCTCAGAAACCTCTATTCGGCTCCAACGGGAATCGAATCCATTTTGGTGTTGCTCTTGCTGGAGAGCTTGTTCGTAGGTCCAATGGTGCTCCGTAGTTTGGCGTAGTACTTTTTCAAAGGATTTTCCGTATCCAAATGTTGTTGGTCGATCAACGTATACCCCTCGTGCCATTAGGTGATCTCTTAGCTCTCGGAGTAATCTTTCCGTAATATTGCGATTCGGGCCCGAGGCCTTTGCACTCTTGAATGCCTCTGCATCCCATTTGCCGAATTTGTACCGAAAGAAGCTCCATAGGTCCGTATCTCTTATCCTTCCGGCTGAAAGGATGAATTCCCTAATACATTCCTGAGCGATTCTAGTATCTATTAGGTATTGGTATTATATCGTAGGTCTTGGTTGTTGTATGATCTTTGCAGCTGGGGTCGCTATAGATCGAGGTCGGTGGTTTTGGAGGAAGGTTGATGGGTCCGCCATTGTCGTAGAACTGGCTTGGTTCTGAGGTTTTGTTGTTCCGTATTCGTCTACACCTCCTACCTGAAATAAGGTGTAGCGCAGTTACTTCTCAACTGCCACTTTAGTTGATTACACTCACTACCTGAAATAGGGTGCAACGCGGTCGATATAGCACTTCGGTAGGAACCTAGCTTATTTGTGATTAACGGTGAAGTCAACCGCCGATTAATATTGCTTTGCTGGTAATAAAAAACGTTAAATTAATAAAGCTTTATCTGTGTATCGCAACAGGTAAAATTGTAGTTCTTTTAGTACTGAATTTGATTTATGAATCTTGATTGTTCTTTAACTAAAGGAATCCTTTTTATGTAAAAGAATAAATAAATTTAATTTAATAAGTATAAAGACCGTATAACGCGGAAGTAAGTGCTTCGAAACAAAAATAACGCAAGTAATTTACCGAGAGCTAACCGAAGTAAATATTAAGGAGTAAACACCCGGGGGGCAATTAGTCCATCACCATCATCGCACTCTACTAGCTAGTAGTTCATGAAGTGAGGAACCGATAATTTTATAAAATAAAAGTCTATCAAGCTGTACACCACCACTCCGCCGCGATCACGATAAAACAACGCTATCTTATAGGTTCAATTAAAGCAATAATTTTATTATTACGTTTTATAGTATTTTCCTCGATCGAATCCTTTGCTTTCAAAAACTCTTTTCAATCGAGGGAACTTTGATAAACTTCAAAATATTTTTCTTGATTAGTCTGTCACCTACAATTACGTAGTAAACCGTTTCGATCGGATCAATAGTAAAATCGAGAAATAAAGCTAGCCATCTGATCGGCTCGGTACCAAAAGCTTTTAAAACGTTTAATATACTATTAAATCGAGCAGCGTGTCTTTTGATAGTAGTATCACTATCATCTTGCTAAAACTTTGATTCGAAACTATCGTCGAGAATTCGATTTTTCGTTAATCTCGACGAATTACGCAATCAAAGTGCTCACGTTTTTTTAATCTCGACGAGTAATATAAACTTTCCGATGCTTTCTTAGCTGAGCTTAATTCTCATCGATAAATGATACTTCGTACTACTTTATCGTATTAATCGTCGATCCAATCAACGTGCTCGCGGGCTTACGTCAATCTATCGATCGCGTGATCGGAGGCTAAATGAAGTTGTCTTTATCGAACTAGGCGAGCAAATTATTTTTTAATCAAAGCTATTTGAATAGCTTTTTCTTATGATTTAAACCTATCAAAGCGAAGATTTAATTCTAAAGCGTTTCTCGATTAGCTGATGACGCTAAGATTCAATCGATAATACGTAGTAGTACGTTTTCTCGTTAAGGTATCGAGTATAGCAAACCGTTTAATACCTACGGTACAGGCCTAAGTATTACCCCTCGAGGGTGCCTCAAAAGTTTAGTTTCCACTTTAAACCCCCTGGTTTACCCTACCCTCGGAGGTAATACTACGTACTTGCGCCTGGGACGTAGTAGTATATCGTATAGCATATTAAACTTGATCGAACGTGAATTCAGCCTAAGAAACTATTTGAGATACGCAGTAATAAAAAACAGGCGTCATTATCTAAAGTCTGAATACGTAATCGATCCTCTCAAGCAAGATCAAAAGCTTCAAGAGCTTTGAGAAATCCTATTATCGATAATTGAAATAATAAACGTAGAAATTGAGAGAAAAGGCAAGAAAAAGCAGCATTAAAATTATACGTAGTACCTATCGATGAAAATTCAAATCTGTTCGATACACTTTTGCTACATTCCCGATCTGATAAGACGCTTCTCAGATTTACGCACGTGCCTTGATCCTTTCGAGAATCCTATTTCCTTTAGTAAAAACTTTTATTTCGTACCCTCAAGGATGTAACGATTACGCCTGTGACGTTGGTAGTAGTACTACCACGATACTACTACTACTATTACTCCTACAACTCCTCCCACTCACCAGTATCCTCCTTTATTTCTCACCATCCAAAATTCACAGTCACAACCTATCTATCCATCTATCCATCTATCGTCTCCCTCTCTCCTCTCGTCTCCTTTCTTTCAATCTCGCTTCCGATTCCGCTCTCGCTGCACTAATAAGTACGTAGTAAGCAGCAAGTAATCTTCTCCAACGAAACTGTTGCTAAGTAAGGTATAAGGTGAGAGCATGATGCATAGTGCACGTGCACATACACGTGCACGCACGGACCTCAGCCTTGGCACGCTCTTACTACAACCTCGCCCTTAATTCCTAGTCCTAGATAATACAAGTCATTCAACTACACATATCAGAAGCTTCCTCGTGACTGTACTATCATCATCCAGATTGATACTAGCAATAAGTTATGAGCCTCGAAGCCTGATTCAATTCATTCCAAGGTATTTCTAGACTTCAAACACCTTTTTCGGCGTATTAGAATACTTACCCCTCCTTTAACAATTCGTCACCGTAGCGCGCGATTCGTCAGAACGCGCTTCTACAGCACCTTTCGTCGCAATTGATTCTTAGTTGCAACTTGCTAGTGTAGCGATAGATGAAGCCAATACTAGCGGTTCCTTAAGCAAGAAGCAAAAGGAAGCTGTAGTTAAAGCAAACCTAGCTATACAGTAATATCAATATACTACGAAGAAAAGAAAAGCGGCAAAGGAACTGCTTGCTTCAAAGAAACCATCATTAGTGCTTAAACCTAAAATCTCTTCATCACCCCTTTAACCACGCTACCCAACGCTACTAGACGTAAAAAGCTCACTATACGTAGCAGCAACTCTGCTTAAGGTATACTTTTAATTCTTTCCCGAGGCTAACAAAAGTGAACTTTCATCTAGTGAAGACGAGTTTACTACTCTCTTAAAGAAGATCTTTAAGTCGCTAGCGCGCTTAATCGACAGCGAACCCCCCCCTCTTTCGAGTCCTCCGAGTCCTCTCGAACCACTTATTACGACTATACTTATACGTCGAAAGAAGATGAGTTCGAGCCATAACCTCAACTTACCCGAAGCTTTAAAGCTAAAAAGAAGTGAGAACTATTAGCAATAGAAAGATAAAGTAATCAACATTGCTAAGTCTAATAAGATTAGTAAATACATTAATCTAAAGTCTAAGTCTTTAATACTTATAAAAGTCGACGAATGCGACGACACAATCAAAGCAAAAGACTTGCAAAAATAGCTAGATTAAGATACCGGAAAGTCATAAATAAAGCTTGCAATTACTTTAAATTATAAGGCTGATCCTTTAAAATACACACAAGGTAAAGCCACTGCTTTAGATATGTAAGAGTCTTTACGACATCAGTATAAAGGTTCTGGTACGGTCTTAAAATACAACGCTATTCAGACCTATGTCACAATCAAATACGACGATTACTTTTCTTTAAAGAAGTTCGTGATAGCATTCAAGATTGCAATTACGAAGCTTGATTCGCTAGATATTGCGCCGCTTTTATAATAGAATCCCGTGATGTTTATCGCTGCTTGCTCAAAGAAATAGCTTATTTAAGCTAAGCGCTAGAGATCGAATCTACGGATAGCGATTACTATACAAAAGAAAGCAGAAATCACCTTCGAATCTCTTATTAAAGACATCATCGACGAAGCTCGAAGCAGCGACTCAACCAAAACAATCAATAGTTAAGCCTTGTACGGTAACAAATCAAACTCAAACTCGAACTCGAATAACTCGAATGCGAATAACAAAAAAAGAAACAAAAGTAGAAATAGAAGTGGAAATGTAGCAAATAAATCGAAGCTATAACAAGTTGCAAATAAAAGACCTGATTGCAAGCATTGCAAGCAGCTTAAACTTCTACACCCTCTTAAAGATTGCTTCGTTATCAACAAAGAGCTACGAGAAGCGTTTAAAAAGAGAACTAGTAAGAAAGCTATCTTATACTTCAAGCGTGTTAAGAACAAGAAAAGTAAAAGAAACAATAATAAAAAGAAAGACGATAAAGAAGTTGACGGAAAGATCTTTTCTCACGCGCTCCTTCTTATTAAAAAACCTTTAGCTGCTGCTAATAGCATAGCATTCTATACGTCGTCAAACAAGAATCGTTAGCTCTACGATACAAAAGCAACTGATCACGTTTGCAATGATCTCTTTAAGTTTATTATTTATATAGCTAAAAAGGATCTACCCTTCATGAATACTATAAGAGGCCTAGTTCGCCCCTTTAGTATTAGCACTTGTGTTATCAAATGCTTTAAATCGCGAGGCTTAGCAAGCGTCATTGAGTATAAAAACACGCTCTACATGCCTTAAAGTCCCGTCAATCTGTACTCAAGCTTGAAGTTAAGCAAAATCGGTAGTTACTTAAAAAGAAGTAAGTTGCTTACGGCTACCGACAAAGAGATTTGTAAAATGGATGCTAAGTTGTTCATTATTAAAAATGACTCTTGCGCACTTTCTGCTTTTGTTATCGGCTATGCTCTACTTGCAGCTATTAAGAAAGCTCTTATTGATATTGAACTCTGGCACAGACGTATATGCTATGCTAGCCTACAAGCTGTTCGCGATACTTAAAGTAATATTATCGGAATGAAGTTCAAAGAGACCAAAACTAGTAAAACACGTGTTTGCGTCCTTTATAAGAAAGGTCGTCTTATTCGGAAGACTAATAAGATGTCAGTACGCAAGAGACCTACGATTGCTTTATAAGAGCTATACGTAGATATAGTCTATTTGATTCTTACTAAGATCCAC